TCCCCCACCCCCAAATCTGCCACTTTTTTGCTGGGGAATCCAAGGCAGGGAGGAGCCAAACCCTGTAGGAGATCTCAGGGAGGGGGTGAGGGAGGGGAGTCCCCCCCAAATCCCCCCTGTACTGCCTCAGTTTCCCCCCCCTCATCTCCTCCAGGGCTCACATTTTGAAGCCAAAACTCCTCAAACCCCTGAAGGGAGGGTTTCAAACTCTGAAAAAACCTCTGAATTTAGGATTTTGGAGGCGAGTTCTGATGGAGAGACTTAAAATATCAGGGAGGGGAGGGAGGGGGAACCAAAAAAAAGCGCAGGAGGGTGGGTCCCTTCCCCTCCCCCTTCCCCTCCCCCTTTTCCTGCTCCTCCGGGGGGTCTCCGTTATCATCCAATGTACAAGAAGGGGGTGGGGCTGCTGCAGAAGCCCCCGCCCCCCCAGGAAGCCCCTCCCAGGGGTCAGAATGTCCATGGCTCCTGGAGTTGGCTGTCGCTGCTGCTGAAGCCGTTGCCGGGGGAGGCTTCGGGGTTGGGGCTCTGCCGAGTGGAATCTTCTCCTTTCAAACTCTTCCTGCACACGGGACACGTGTCGTGCTGCCCAGAGAAACGTGGGGATGGGAGAAAGAGACAGAGAGAGAGAGAAGCAGCGCTTGGGAAATCGCGGGGAGGGGCTTTTCCCCTCCTCCCAGGGGTCTCCCGGAGCTCCTCCCCCCTCCTCTCTTACCAGCTCTAACCAGGGCACGATGCAGTTGCTGTGGAAGAAGTGATTGCAGGGGAGCTGCCGGACCTGCTCGGCCACTGTGTAATCCTCTTTGCACACAGGACACTCCAAACCCGTGTCTGGAGAGAGCAGGGAGGGTGAAGAAGGTGAATTCAAGGCTCTAAAAAGCAGGAGGTGTTTTCTGCAGGACCTCTCCACGGGCACCTTGCTGAAGGGAAGGAGCTTGAGGGGTTGAGGAGTGGGTAGAGAAGGGCAAAGGAGCTGCTGGGGAAGGGTCTAGAGGGCAAGTGTGGGGAGGAGCAGCTGAGGGAGCTGGGGGTGCTGAGCCTGGAGCAAAGGAGGCTCAGGGGAGACCTTCTGGCTCTGACACCTCCTGACAGGAGCCTGGAGCCAGGGGGGGGTGAGATCTCTGTCCTCAAGTGATGAGATAAGAGGAACCGGCCTCAAGTTGCCCCAGGGGGGTTTCAGTTGCCCCTGAGGAACAATTTCTTGCCCTGGAGGGTTGCCCAGGGCTGTGCCAGGCTGCCCAG